AGGGCTCTGTATTTACGCCACTCACCCACAAAGCTCCCCCTCACCCCCACCAACCGCAAACTTGAGGAGGAGGACAGAGCAACCTCTCTCCCGTGAGGAGGTTGGGGATCCCAGGCAGGCCTCAGCTTGATCCCCACCCAGGGAGTGGCGTGATTTCATTTGAGCCCATGCAAGGAGATGTCACTGGTAAGACACATACTCAGACAGCTATGGTAAACCTGTTATGTTATTAATATAACTCCCTGGCAGAGTATGCAATTTAACATTAAAAGAAAAATAAAAACAGAACAAACAAAACACTCAGCTGTTTCATATTACAAACATCTGCTTCAGCACTTCCCTAGGCCTACTGAGCAGGCACTGCACTCGGCAAGGGGATACATGGATGAAAAGTTCAATACCTGCTTCAGTTCCAGAGTCCAGAAGAGAGGTGTGATTTTAAACTATTCAGTACATTATTTCAGCATAGAGTGTAATGCATATTTATCTTAAATGGACTGGAGGGCATGGATTAGAGGTTCCTGATACTCCTCCTGGAGCACGGAGTTAACATCTGCAAAACCCCTACTGGATATGCACAATCACTGGTTAGTGTTGAAGCTGCTAATAAAAAAATCTCACTCCAGGGGCATCTGGGTGACTCAGTTGGTTAAGCGTTGGTCTTTGGCTCAGGTCATGATCCCGGTGTCCTGGGATCAACCCCTCGTCTGGCTGGGAGTCTGCTTCTCCCTCTCCCCCTGACCCTTCCCCCTGCTCATGCTCTCGCTCACACTCTCAAATGAATAAAAAAAAAAATCTAAAACAAACAAAAAAAACCTCACTACGGTAAGTCCAGTTTTCTCTTCTCTCCTCAAATCCAGAGGGTATGGTAATTCGCATAAAAGATATGAGAAATGACTATAGTAGTAGAAAAGAGTCGTGTTCAGGATATGTGGTTTGGCTACAGGTATCAAAGGGGACCACTGTTCCTCTATGAGCACACATATGAATCTAACAAACCTGTGGCGAATATTCTTTGGAAATGGACCCTAGGCCTCGGGATTCCTGCTGGTTCTGTGATTAGTTCCCTGTAAGGGAATTTTGTTGTCTGATCCCAACTAGGTTAAACTGAATCCTACAACCAGATTAGCACTCTGCCTGGAATAAAACTCTCATAAAAGGTACCTGCCAGAGTTCCTAGAAGGATGGAGAGGAGGGACTTTATGCAGTTTAGAAAATAGTTTGTAAGACTATTTTTGTGCTTGCTGACTAATAAATTTCTGTATGTGTGGCAGAGCTCCGTGTGAGTTTTGCTTTCATAGTAATGTGCCTTTTGGATGTTAGGTTTTGGGGGAGTAGATCTATCGTGCTCACTTATCTGTAGCTTGCAAACATGAGCAGTATCTCTTAAAAGAACCTAATACTCAAACAACTGAATTGGCTCAAGTTGGGTCACAACAAGGAAAGTCATGCAAAAGCATCCAGGACAGTGTGATATACACAGTCTTACACAAGGTACCCAGACAGCAAAGATGATGAATGCTCTCCTAGGAACGGGTGTCAGAAAAGACCATGCGAGGACACCTGAGTGGCTCAGTCAGTGAAGCGTCTGCCTTCAGCTCAGGTCATGATCCCAGGGTCCTGGGATCGAGCCCCGCATCAGGCTCCTTGCTCGGCGGGAAGCCTACTTCTCCCTCTGCTACTCCCCCTGCTTGTTGTCTCTCTCTCTCTCTCTGACAAATAAATAAATAAAATCTTAAAAGAAAAAAAGACAAAAGAAAAGACTATGCGGGCAAAGTGACCAATGAGCAGAATTTTGAAGGATAAAAATACAAGTTTTCCAGAGTAGTGGGAGACTCCCAGTAAAGGGAACAGAGTATTTGCAAAAAGCAAGAACAAATATGGCACCTTGAGAGAAATGCAAATGGGTAAACAATGTTGGGAGAGGAAATGCTCAGTGCAGAGCAGCTGGAGATGGGGCAGGAAAGACAGGCAGGGGTGGGGCAAAGAGGCTCTTACTGGCTTGCTGAGGAGCTTTGTTTTATAAGTCAGTATAGCCAAATGTGTTCAGTAAGAATCATTTGGTGTACTTCTTATATTATGTTAGAAGATCAACACTGTGGGGGAAAACAACAGGAATGGAGAATACAGTGCTGGGGCATAATTATCAATAGAGTTGTCAGGTCAACCTCATTGAGAAGCTGACATCTGAGAAAATGTTAAGAGATGAGGAAGTGAATGTTCCATGCACACTTTGTGCCTGACATGTCTGAGGAAAAGGAGGGTCAGTGTGGCCGGAAAGGAGAGCAAAGCAGGGGAGATTGGAAGATGAGATCAGAGAGGCAAGGGGTGGGGACAGGGACCACTGTAAAGACGAAGCAGGAGGGGAAGTCACTGGCGGGTTTTGAGTAGTCTGGCTGCCATGTAGAGCAAGGATCGGCAAACTACAGCCAACTGTCCTTGGAAGTAACGTTTTATTGGAACACTCCTTCGTTTACATTTTGTATGGCTGTTGTCATGTTACAACAGTACATGTGAGTGGCCATGATAGAGGCAGTGTGGTCCAGAAAGCCTAAAATGTTTACCATTTGGCCCTTGGCAGAAAATGTTTGCTGACCCCTGGTGCAGAAAATGGACTGAAGGCTAGCAGGAGTGAAAGACTATTTAGAAGGCTATTGCACTAAATCAGGTGAGGGACAATGACTGCTTGGGCCACGGTGGTAAGAAGTGATTGGATGAATAAGCAGATTTCCAGAAAGACTGGCATGGAGTATGAGAGGATGACTCTAAGACTCTAAGATTCTGGCTTGAGAAGCTGGAAAAATGTAATTACTGTAAACAGATGAAGACAACAGGTGGCACAGCCTGAGGATGGGGGCATGTGGGAGATCAGGGATTCAGTTCTGAACATGTTCAGTTAGGGTATGTGTAAGGCACAGTTTTAGGAAGACAGTCCCTGTTCTTAAAGAACTTATATTCCAGTGGGACAGAGAGGAAAACTAATGATATTTCAACACAGCCAACAATGAAAATGACCAGGCCAGGCACGGAGTATTATTCCATTGCAGGGGAAGTTGGGGTCAGAGAAAGCTTCTTGAAAAATGGGTCTTGAAAGAAGAATGTGAATTAGCCAGACAATAGAGGTCAGGGAGAATGTTCCAGGAAAAGAAAAAGTCACAAAGACAACAGAGAGCACAGTGTGTGTGCATATGCATGTCCTGTGTGTAAACTATAAGCAAGGGGGAACCCAAAGCACCAGGCAAGGGGTGTGACAGATGAGGCAGGACATATCCAAGGCCACTCCCCGGAAGGTTAGTGTTCCTTGATGATTAACTTGGACTTTATCTTATGGGTACTAGGGAGCCACTGAAGAGTTTTGAGCAGGGAAGTGACATTACCAACTCTTAAAGTTTTCATTCACTTGGGCAGGTGACTGTGAGGCACATTTCTGAAGCACAGCTATGAAGTCATGAGTCTGCTTTTTTTTAAGATTTTATTTATTTATTTGAGAGAGAGAGAGAAAGAGAGCATGATGGGGGGAGGGTCTGAGGGAGAAGCAGACTCCCTGCCGAGCAGGGAGCCCTATGCATGACTCCAGGATCATGACCTGAGGCAGTCATTTAACCAACTGAGCCACCCAGGCGCCCATCAGTCTGCTTTTCGTATTGGAGTTGGTAAACCACAACTATTTCCTTTTGTGGGGTACTCTTCAAAGGAATGTTTGTGTTTTGTTCTTAATTTGCTATTCTTGATGCAGAATCAATGCAACAACAAAAAGCTGATTTTTAAAAAAATTCCCAGGGGTGCCTGGGTGGCTCAGTCGTTAAGCATCTGCCTCGGGCTCAGGTCATGATCCCAGGGTCCTAGGATCGAGTCCTGCACTGGGCTCCCTGCTCAGTGGGGAGTCTGCTTCTCCCTCTCCCACTCCCCCTGCTTGTGTTCCTGCTCTCACTGTCTCTCTGTCAAATAAATAAATAAAATCTTTAAAAAAATAAATAAAAATTTCCCCAAACGAACGAATGCACTCAAATGAAGTACCTGAAAGTGTCAACTTCATCCTAGCCTTACTGCTTTGGAGAGATAGTCCATAAATGCTAAAATGCTTATTTCAGTTTAAGACTTAAATGGGCAGAGAATCAGGACTCTTTCTTAGCTGAAAAGACTGCTCATTAAAAACATATAAATCAGACCCTTAAGAAGTTTTTCAATAATAATAACAGTAACAACAACAACAGCATAACTCCCTTTCTAGGCAGATAACCAAACACCTTTTTTTTTTTTTTTTAAGATTTTATTTATTTATTTGACAAAGAGAGACACAGCGAGAGGGAACACAAGCAGGGAGAAGCAGGCTTCCCGCTGAGCAGAGAACCCGACGTGGGGCTAGATCCCAGGGCCCCAGGATCACGACCTGAGCCAAAGGCAGACGCTTAACGACTGAGCCACCAGGCGGCCCATAACCAAACACCTCTGAAAAGTGTTTGTGGTGTGACTGACAGAGGTTCCAATCACAGCCTTTGTATTTTTACAGAACTTGAGTTTACAGAACTTGCATATGAGGCATCTCATGTCAGTCCTGCCACACCTCCACGAGTGATGCGGGAAAGTCACAGTGCTGAAGGGCTTACTCCGCCGAGCCTTCATACCACTGCACAGAAGTATAGTTACTGCAAGCATCAGATCTGGTCCCAGAAAATAATGATGGCCCTGTTTCAAATAACATTAACCTCTACTCTGCTTTTATCACTTTGAACAAGTTTAATGTTCTTTGCTTTTTGCATCATTCTTAGAAAAGTTCCTGAATTTCTTATAAATCGCCCTACCTAGACACCCTTGTAATATTTATTTTCTGGGTTTCCCCCATCAGATTTTGGACTCCTATAGAACATGAAGCAGATCTTACTAATCTGTGCCAAACACAGGTGCTCAGATCTCTATTGAGTAAATCAATTAATGATTAAGGGTAGAGAGAAAGGAGAGAATAACTTGAACAACTTTGATACGATCTATTGATCATTTTTTCTTCTGGATCTGCTCTGCCAAGTGTCTTTCTCAGCAGTGCCTCGGGTGAGCATCTGAAGACCTTCGTGAAAAGACATCATCTGCACTTTAATACAAAATACAAGCTGAGTTTTACCATCTTATTAAAGTTGACAGAAGTATTACTAGGTTATGAGAAATAAATCTGAAGTTCAACAACCTTCCATTTGCACAGGATGACAAAAATAACACACATACACTATGTACGTATGTGCATGTGTGTACACGTACACAAAGAAGCATAGTTACTAAGTTATGCCAACAGACTGGTTTTCATTCAGGACCATATAGCTTTATTTTCGGTCTTGGCACAGCTTATTTTTAGGAATGGTCAAGTAGGGGAGTGCTTGGCTGGCTCAGTCAGAGGAACATGGGACTCAATCTCGAGTCATGAGTTCGAGCCCCACGTGGGGTGTAGGGATTACTTAAATAAATTAATTTTTAAAACCCCCAGAACAAAAAAACTTAAAAAAAAAAAGGGGGGGGGGCGCCTGGGTGGCTCAGTTGGTTAAGCGACTGCCTTCAGCTCAGGTCATGATCCTGGAGTCCCGGGATCAAGTCCCACATCGGGCTCCCTGCT